AACGGTTTTTTTGGGCACGGAAATTGGCAAACCGTGCCCATTTCGGCTAATTACCGTTCCCAAATAAATAACCGTGCCCAAAACAGTCAAAAGATTTTTTTGGGCACGGAAAGTGACAAACCGTGCCCAAAACGGCTAATTTCCGTGCCCAAAACAGAATTTGTCCTTAATCTATCTCTTTGATAACATCAGTAATTGATCAAAAGAAGAATAATCGGTTTTTTTCGGTGAGTGTTAACTTCTTCTCATATGTGACAAGGAAAAAGTATTTGTATTTAGGCAAAACATAATAAAGATAAGCCGGTACCGACCGGTCACCGGTATACCGGCCGGTACCGGTACGAAGCTCGTATATCGGTGACCGGTGCCGGTATCGCATTTTTGATACCGGTTACACCCCTGCTCCCAAGTTCTAGATCAAACTTCTCTTTAGTTAGACCGATTAGCGCTCAAGATGCTCACGTGAAAACAACAAAAATTCGCTTTTCAGTAATCCATCTGTTTTTGATAATCCGACACGATAGGAGCAGAAAAGGTCAAAACTGTCAAATAAATATTTTAATATGCACTGTAGAAAATTGCGTGTTAACATATAATCGGAAGTGTGTTGACGTACGATTGTGTGTATATGTATGTTGTGCTTTTATATCTAAACGTGTTAATGTGTGATTGTGTGTCAACGTTGTGTCTGAAGGTGTGTTTCACCTCTGTTGCTTATGTCCGTAAGCTAGCTCAATTCTCTGAGACTGCTGAATGATCATTTAGAAACCCTTACATCAATTGTATGAAAGTGTACTTTAAACAGTCTGAAAATGTGATGACATCATCGCATAAAACTGAGAAGAGCGTATACATAGACGTAGTACTACTTGAATGTGATCTATTCAATCCGTGTCGTGTGTCAAAAAAATGTATGCTAAAGCTGCACATTTTACACAATTTTTATTTGAGTGTGGAATCTCCATATGAGCTAAAAAAGTAACTATAAACGTTTTAAATGAATAAATTGTAGTAAAAATCTTTGTCAGTAAAAATGATAATGATGCAAAACTCCTCTAAAAGATGAAATGTGAAAGGATTCTAATATAAGAGAAAAAGACAAATCTATTCTTAATAACATCAGGATTGATATAACATCATTTTGATGTCTTTTCAACAGGATAAAATTGCTGATTATTCTCCGTTTATACGCATACTTCATTGCACAATCGAAGTTAATGTTTCTTCTCTCTGATGAATTTATTACCTTCTCAGTATCATTATGAATAAGTTATTGAAGAAACAAACTGGAAAATTTTACCGGCTATCTCAAATATGGCGAATTCTCTTATTTTATTAATTTTTTCTCATTTATTTCTTCACAATGATGGATAGAAGACATAAATAAACGTTCGGTTCACTGAACATACTTTATTACTTTATTATTCAAGCATGATGACGATGATGCAGAGAATGTAGCCAGTATTAAACTAATAATACAAGAGACAGTAACGAACAAGAAAAAAATTTGGTTGAACTAGTAGATACCCTATGTTGAGAGTTAGAACAAACGTGTGTGTTCTTCTTTCACGTACGTAATGTTCAGTCATATAACTACAGAGAAGAAGAGAAATTACGTGTGCCAAGTGTTTTGTACAGTATACTAATAAGTTTTTGTAACTAGTGCAGAAGAGAGAAAAAAATAGTCCGAGAGAGAGAGGGAGAAAGAGAGATACAGAGATCTGACTCTTATCCATTGTATGTGTTGATTGTTCAATGTACGTTTAACATTTATATGAACTGTAAAATATATTTTTATGTACTATTTTTTTGTTCTATATACAAGAGGCTAAGAGAAAGAGAGAAATCTGAAGCGAGAAAGAAACGTTAGACATTATTACGAAAGAGAGAGAAATGGTCAGAAGGACAAAGAAAACGTTGTACTATAGTCTTCTCGTTTTTTTCTATTCTGCAGTTTTCATATGGAACTACGTCTGAAAGAAATTTTTTTTTTTTCAAACACAAGGATTGTTCATTCATTGCAAAGTGTCAAACTATTCACAGAATAAGAAATGATATAAAAAATTGTAAGTCTCATTTATTCAATGTGAGATTATCTTATTTTTGAGACAAAATTCAATTAAGAATTGAGATCATTTTCATATCGTTTATCATAGAGTAAGTTAGAAGAGTTCAATTTATAAGTTCATATTAGTTTTGACATTCTATGTTTCCATAAGAGAAAGAAAATGCTAAATAGTGCTGAAGATTGTGATGATACAACTCTTGATGTTGCAGTACATTTTGAAACAACATTGTTCACTATTGTAATAAGATTGCTCTTATATTGTTAACAAGGCTTTTGTTTCTAAAAGAAAACGCCTTCATTTATGTCAAACATTCTATAATGAAAGAGATGAGATCATCAGACAACTGTTTGAGTAGAGCGAGAATCGAATATACTACTGATTTTATCGATAATAACTGAAATAATAGAATGTTTATTCTATCTTAATGCGTGAATAATTAATTTGACATTCTCATTCTATTTTTTAGAAAGTCAATTAGTCTATCATGTTCTAATGCAACAAAAAAAAAATATATATAAAAAAAAATGTTATGGATAAAAAGAGAAAAATAATTAGCATTATTACTCTAGATTTTATGTGACCACGACGTGAACTATGTTTATCATTTTCTTAGAAAGTTATTTACAAAATATATTTCTGATTTCTTGTTTCTCTATAAACATATGGTGTATGTAAGCATTTTTAACCTTTTATGTCGCAAACCAATAAAGTTTTTTTTTATTAAGTATTACGAAAGAAAACCGTTGTAAACAGCATGAACATCATAAAAGAATATCTTTTGCTATAATAATTATCGTAGTATGCTATCATAAGAACTAAGGGAATAATATTTTCTTACTAATCTAAATCAATCATCTATCTACTTTATTCCCTTTATAGAATATGTGTTGATATAGCAAACAGTGTATTTCTATTATTTATTCCTAAATTGAATTATTTTTCATCTATAATACATATGTTTATAATAACAGTCGTTGAATATGTTCTCTTATTATTATTATTATTATTATTATTTTGTTCTACTATTTATCTTTCAATTATCAATAATTCCTAGTCGACAACAACATCAACAATTAGTTGACGATTGTAATATGAATATGGTTCATGTATGTAAATGTATAAATTTTCCGCTATTTACACTATACGATCAATCGTATATGACAAAACCAAAATCGCTCAATCAAGATTTATATTGTATTGGTAATGAAACTGATAGTTCAATATTTAATCAATTAAGATATTTATATTATCGTTTTCGTACAATAACATTAACAAATTATAAATTGATACCAACAAAAGCATTTCAATTTGTTAGATTTGATACACAGAGTGTTACACAAACATATAAAAGAAATAATAAAAATTATATAGCACTGATCAATATTGAAGAAACGCAACAAGGTAATTATTATCTTTATCATTTTTTTTTATAAGAGAACAAAGTATATAACCGTTGAAGATAATTTTCTAGTGAAAAAAAAACAACTCTTATAAATAATACCTATTGATAGTGTGTATTGCTAAATGTTTTATTGTCACTGATATCAGTAACCGTAACTTTCCAAGATTCTCAAGTTATAATATATGATGCAAAAAATAATGATGTAAATGGCAAACCGTATTTCTCAGCGTCGAATCATTTTGAAGTTCTTTTTGTTTGAAAGAGCAAAGTCTAGAGAACAAATTTGTCTGATAAACAATTTTTTATTTATCCAATTTAAACAGTACGACAACATTCTTTCGATTGACCTCAAAAAGGTCTTGCAACGTACTTTATTTTTAATTCTTTTCACTTTAGTCTGAGAAGAAAAGCTTTGAAAACTAAATAGATGAAAATGTAGTTCGTGCAAAACTCTATCGATCCCTGTACTTTCTAAAAGTTTCTTGATAATTTCTTAATAGTAAAAAAATCAGTTTTAGTAGAAAAGTACCATCTTACATGGGAAGATAATACATCGAGAAAATTTCTTTATTTATGGCTCAAAACATACAGTACTGGAAAAAATTATAGACCCAGTGTACTTTTGAAATTTTTCGATGAAGCCGAGTGGCTAGATCAAATCTGAATAGTGCTTTAGATAGCCCTTGAAGTTCTCTATCAAATGCAGTATGCCTCAAAATTGCAGAAAAAAGGTTTTGAAGAAAGTTTTCTAGAAAACTGCTCCAACGGAGTTCTAAGTCCTAAAGAATTTTGCTAAAACTATTTTTAATATAGCCATCTAAAAGAGCATAAAATTCTGAAAAAAATAAAGGGTCGTACAGCTCTACACGATCTTTCGTTGCAAAGTTACAGGCATCAGAAAGTCTAAAGCAATGTGCTTCTGCTTGGTTTTTAGGCCACTTTTAGCGTTTTTTTCGTAAATTATACTATTTTCTCTAGGACTTAGAGCTCCGTTGGAGCAGTTTTCTAGAAAACTTTCTTCAAAACCTTTTTTCTGGAATTTTGAGACATACTGCATTTGATAGAGAGCTTCAAGGCTATCTGAATCGCTATTCAGATTTGACCTAGCTACTTGGCTTGATCGAAAAATTCCAAAAATACAGGGGCTCCATAATTGTTTCCAGTACTGTATCAGTACAGATTTTAAATAATGTGAATTTGCAGAGGATTGAATGTTGTTTCAGAAAATGCTTTTTAGCAAAAGGAGGAAGTTGGTTTAGTATCTGATAATTATTAATTAGATCTAATTAACTGTGTTTCCGAAACTAATGAAAAATTTGCGAATTTCTGGTTGAAAAGGAGACCGAACGTTAATTTATCATCTTCCATTCGAAAAAGTGATAAAAACACTTCTAATTTCTATAATTACATAATTTCTTCAGACATATTCTATTATAGGGAAAAAATATGCTTGATGAGTAAAATATGTTTGATGAGAGCGAAAGGTGTAAGAGCTTTTTTAGCGACATTTTCTATTTAGATTTTTTCCCATTCGAACTTAATCAGGAAAAAATTTGTTCTCTATGTTTTACGAAGTTCAGACTTTGCTCTTTCCAACGAAAAAATAATTAACTCTCCAGTACATCGGGAACATGGAGAACTAATGTTCGATATTTACTCCATGACTTTTGCACCATATGTTAGTATCCTGTGTAGTTAAAATCACGTTTTAATTCAACAAAAAAATAATAATAATGTGGAGAATACGGACAATGAAGAATTATCTCCTGGTGAAACTTTTGCTGTATATGACCATGAGAATTAATCAGTTTGACGTTCTTATTTTTCTCTATCTCTAACAAAGACGCTGTTGCATTTGTACTGTTCTGAGGCTCCCGAGGATTTTTTTTAGCCTTTCGAATATAAGAGAAGAATAGAGGAAGGAAATAAAATCGAATTTTCTATAGAGAACAACGGAACAAGTTCAGCACAAAACATATATACATCCGGTTATCGTCGGTTTCATTCCGTGTAATTTATAAAGAATAAAGTTTCTAAAGCAATCAAACGGATTCATTGAAAAATAGAGGAAAAAAAATGATAGAAATATTGGAAAAACTAAAATGTTTTAATATACAGAATGGTGTCATGTAATAGTGTTTTTCAATTAAAAAAAATCTATAGTTCATTGATAACTTGTTCATTGTGTTAATAACTTGATAATCCCTATAGAAATTTAGATTTTGCATTCTTTATGATCATGAATTTTAAAGTCAACTCAAGAAAAGTATAAAGATCGAGAATAGCTATCATTTTTGTTAGGATCTCCTCTAATCAACATAACAATTATTTTCTCCAAAACTCGATTTTTGAATCTACTCACTCTCATGTACCCGATAGTATGCAATTTTAGCATATATTTCGTTCTATAGTTGATTGATTGGTGTTATTAGTTATTAATAAAAGTTTTCTAAAGAATCGAAAGAATAGGATTAAATAGAGTTGGAGACCTTTGGTGATCTCTCACTTTACGTGAATAAAATCCATTTCATTCATTTAAGGATTGTGTATAGATTTGCAGAACAGACATTTTTCTTCAAGGTTTTTGAGACCTTCTGATTTTTAATTGAAAGTCAAGATCCCGGACTGCCGCAGTGTTATTATAAAAGTCTTTTGCTTTCTCTTTAACTAGAAAAAAGGAAAAAGTTTTGAAATTATAAGATGACGGTCATTTCAAGCCTCGCCCACTAATCACGACATTTATACATCTGATTAAGTGAAGGCATAGATAATCTATTCATCTCTACTATTAACCCTAAATTCGCAAATTTTACGTTGACAGTAGAGATATATGGACGTTTTCATTTAATCCATGCTTCTCTTTGAAATAAGACATGACGCAACTGTCAGAATACGAAACAGATCGAATAACTCGGCATTTGATGCGGTTCAACCTTTAATCGAATCGAACTAAGCAGTTTAGTTAAAGTGCATGATGTTTTTTATTCATCAATGTAAAGACCTTTTACTATCTTCTTGATTGGTATACTAAAATCAAAAACTGTTTCCAAATTCGGCTCGTTTACGATATTTATTATTAACGATATTTTTGGTTTGTTGTAGTAGTTCAGTTGCGGTTGAACGAGAATTCGCTGGGCCGATTCTCTAGTGAAAGTACTCATACTATGAGTACGACTTTACTCATAATTCGTCTATGAGTACTCATATGAGTTCTACTAACAACTTTTGAGTATTTTTACTCAGTTACTATGTGAGTACTCAGAACATATTCATTCACCATTTTGTTTTGCAAAAATGAAATTGTATAAAAAACGTAGAATTTAGTAAAGAAATAGAATATTTATCTGATATTTTTCTCACTGGTCTCTCTGTATATAGTCAGAGATGGACTCGTCTGTGAATAGACTTGTAGTCCAACTCTGGCTGGCTGAGATCACTCTCTCTATGAAAATACTAGATGAGCAATACTCATGAGTATTTTGCCAAAAGTTATATGCGTACTCAACAATACTCAAGCATGAGTACTCAAAGTCGTCCCCACAGTACTCATTACTCACTTTTGAGTACTCATGTGAGTACTCAATGATTACTCAAAATATATGAGTACTCATCCGGTTTTTCTAGCAGAGTACTTTTTGAGTATTCACGCATGAGTACATTCACTAGGGTTGTTAACCGACACTGCTCATGCTTAGATCCATCGATAGCCAATAATAGATTATTTTTACATTTGATAGAAAATAATAAATAAAACTAGACTAATTCTATCAGCAAGATATTTCTTGTAAATATTCTTTTCTTTGTTTTGCTTTAATTCATTTTTAAAAGTTCTGATCACAGATGACAGATTCATTTAAGTGTTCTAACTTGCGAGAGTATTTTCTAAATAGACATTTCAAACAAAAAAAGAGACGAAAGCTTCCATTTTGATGGACGTAAGTCGAATCGCATCGATTCAGCTTTTGAAAATGTTCTTCCGAATCGACCCGAACATATCACCAAAACAAAAAAAATAAAGTTGGTTTTGAGTCGCTGAAAAGTGCTTTTTCGTATTAGTATCAGCTTTTCTTAGCAACTCAAAACCAACTTTAGTTTTTTTTGTTCTGGTGATATGTCACATTTTTCTGATTCATTTCAAACTCTGGGAACTCTGTAAGACTTCACATTGGAGAGTTATGAGTATTTTCGTACAAACTCTAAAATACACCATTGAGTGTATCATGAGTACTCACTCATGATACTTTCTCATTATCAGTTTTAACACTTAGCGTTTATTTTGTATAAGTTTGATTTAAAGGATAGAGAAACTTCTTCATTAGCGTCACAAATTATCCAAGAAATGCTTTTTTTGCAAAACTCCCATATCTCCGAAAGAAAGTGGGTTGAAATGAAGTTTATACTTGAAAATCCTTGATTTTGGCCATTTTTTAAACCTCCTCCCGCACTCCCTAGTGGTCACATCGTCTTAAACTATTCAACAACAACTTTTGAGGAGTTTCACTATTTTAACTCCATAGGAGTCTACCCTGACACGATTTTTTTCATTGAAATAGTGAAAAAAAATGTTTAGAAAATTTTTGTCACTTGTTTACTGAAATGATTAAAGAAACATTTTACTTTATATTTTAGAACAACATTCATCAGCTTTTCAGGTCTAAAAGCGATCATCTCATAGCGTAATTGAATCTTTTTTAATAATACAAATAAAATTTTGTATAAAATACTCTCTATTTTCTTAGCATAAGTTCAATTGAATTCAAATTATTAACATTGTATTTTTTTTTTTTTTATTTAATAAAATATAGCCATGTTTGATGAAATAAATTTAAAAGATGCCTATGATCAATTAATCATTTTATTTATTAATTCACCAAATATGATCTATATGGATTTTGGATTAAAAAATCTTTACTGTTATGAATTAAAATTAATTAATACAAATCCATTAATTCCTATAAAATTTTTTATTAATTCATCTATTCAACATTTAATTATTCAAAATAATCAATTTAAAGGATTTATATTTGATTCTAATAATTTTAAAAATGATATTAAAATATTAATATTAACATTAAATGGATTAGCTGTACGTCATTTAAATGGAAAACATTTTCCTATTATTGATTCATTAAATGAATTAATTATAAATAGTCAAATATTATTAACATTAAATAGTTATCAATTATCAAAAAAATTTCCTAATTTAAAATCATTTACATTATTTAGTCAATCAATTCAACATATAACATCAAAAATGTTTAAATCATTTTATACATTAGAAAAATTAATATTAAATGGTATAACAACAATTGAAAATGAAGGTTTATTTAATTTAAAAAATTTAAAAGAATTAAATTTAGGTTCAAATATTTTACGTTTAGATCCATTTGCATTTTATCAATTAGGTAATGATCAAACATTTTTATTATT